TAGACAATAAAAGAAAAATAGTTTATTCTTTACCAAAAAAATAGATTAAGATTAAGGGATTGTAGATATATTCCTTAAAGTGCATTGTGTGTGTGTTAGTGTTTGTATGTGTGAAGGCAAAGGTTTGGAAGGAAAAAAGTTTTAGTATTTCTTGCACTAATATATTCTGTAAACTGCTTTCTGTGACCTGATTTTTCTACATTGCTCAGTATTCCTAATTAAAACCATATTTATGATCCGAGTAATTCTTTCTGGCCTGCGATTGGCCTTTTGCAAATCCTCCTCTATAGATGGTTGTGATGATTTGTGGACTGAAGAACTGGCATTGAAGTTTGTACTCTATACTCACAGTTGATATGTTAATGAAATTTGAGCCATGTTTTTGGGGGCTAATCTTAGTTAAATAAACCTTGGAATAAAACATGATAACAAATTTGTGCATATCAGAATCATGCAAAGTGAAAACTGCCTGTAATGTGCAAAAAACAAACAGGTTGAACTTGCTTTTTTCATTGCTGTAGCAGAAGTGTTAGTGGTGTTGCCATAACCCAGTGGTTCTCAACCTGTGGGACCCCTTTGGCGGTCAATAAAATGAATGTACCTATCACTTTTTTTTTTTTAGTCTTCACCTAAGATATGTTTTTATTGATTTGAGAGAGAGGAAGGGGAAGAGAGAGACATCAGTGTGAGAGAAACAGCGATTGTTTCCCGTCTGTGCTCCTACTGGGGATCTATCCCGCAACCTAGGTTTAGGTATGTACCCTGACCGGGAATCCAGTCTACAACTTTTTAATGTACAGGATGATGCTCCAGCCAACTAAGTTACTCGGCCAGGGCACTATCACCTGACTGATTTCAGTACATAAGCAGTCGTGTTTTATCCATACCCACCTACACTTGCATTCCTTTGTACCCAGTTCCAGGAAAATATTTCAGCACACAGAGTTAATTTTATGTTTTGCCAGATTGCCTTCCAGAAAAGTGTCAATAATACTACACAGAGATAAGATTTTTTAAAAAAAACCTTTAAAATTTTTATTGTTGTGAGTAGATGCATATATATATACTTTTCCTAATAAAGAGAATTTGGGCATGCTTATACTCTGGCATCAAATTTTACAGTTTCTCATCAGTACATCCATCATAGGAAAGCCGTGAGTACCAGGTAGGGTCATCATATAATTTATTGTCCAATTGGATGCTTTTGAGATTTGAAAGAGGCATTATTAATAATGCCAGTATAACAGACATAAATCAGGACTATATTTGGCACAACTGGATTGTATGATTACCATATTATTAGATAATACATGTAGGATGCACTAAACATAAAGTGACTATATCATATAGTCAGTAAAGGGTAGCTTTTATTAAAGTGTTTATGTATGCTGGTATATGGATATGTATGAAAATCTTCACTTTAAAAGAAGTGTTTTGAATTGGCAACTTAGAAAGTTCTAAGTTAACAGTTTTTGTTTCTGTGTGTTTTTGGAGTTGACTGTGACAACTGTTTCTTAAAGTAGCTTTAATTTTCATAATTAAGACATTTGTATTAATATTTGCAGCTGGAGAATGCTGGAGGAGACATTAAGGATGGCTGCCACCATTATGAAGGAGCTGTGGTCATTCTGGATGCTGGTGCTCAGTACGGGAAAGTCATAGATCGAAGAGTGAGGGAACTGTTCGTGCAGTCGGAACTCTTCCCATTGGAAACACCAGCATTTGCTATAAAAGAGCATGGATTCCGGTAGACTTTTTTCTTATGTTTTTCTGAGAATATTGAGCATACATTTTAGGATATTTTATTATTAAGTTGCTTGGGCACTGCATGTTTTTAAAATGAATATATGACATGGATTGGTTTTACAAGAAATTTCCCATGGTTCTGATTAAAAAAAAAGGAAATATTTAAGTTTTTCAGTTAAAAAGATTACCTTAACTTTAATTGCACAGTCATGAGGACTTGCATTATTTTTGTTTTTTAAAAATATATTTTTATTGATTTCAGAGAGGAAGGGAGAGGAGAGGAGGGCAGGGGAGGGGAGAGGAGGAGACGGGGGGAGAGGAGAGGAGAGAGGAGAGAGAAACATCAATGATGAGAGAGAATCATTGATGGGTTGCCTTCTGCACATCCTCTCCCAGGGATCGAGTCCACAACCGGGCATGTGTCCTTGACTGAAATTGAACTGGGACCCTTCAGTCCACAGGCCGATGCTCTATTCACTGAGCCAAACCAGCTAGGGCAGGATTTGCATTTGGATGTTTTATCCTATCTAATAATAGACAAACATGGTAATTAACCATACCTCCGACACGCTTCCCATTGGCTAATCAGGGCAATATGCAAATTAACTGCCAACCAAGATGGCGGCCGGCAGCCAGG